GTTCCACATATGTATGCCACTTACACATGCTTAGCACAGTAATGCTAGGCTATTTCTACTAATCATCGTCCTTGTATTTGATTTAGTGCCTTATCACATCTCAAAAGATTTACCGTAGAATGTTGTGACTCTGTATTTTGACGGTCAATTTTGCATAAAAGGCTGCAAACAGCCATGAAATGAATGGCCGCAGTTTTTTTGGAGAATTATTGGCTAAGACATTGGGTGAAATTCCTTTCTCTTTTGAACAAATGTCACGTATAGGCAGGACCTCGGTTTAACATCGCAGCCAAAAGCTAAGGTTTAAGAAAACAAGACCTCTGCTGTCACAGTGAATTCCACTTGCTGGGGGTGTGTCGCATTGTTGGAGGTCCCGTTCTTCAGATGAGACATTAAACCAAGGCCATGACTGCCTATTCAGGTGGATGTTAAAGATCCCATGGCGCTATTCTAAAAGAGAATGGAATTTCTCCTGGTATCCTGGCCAACAATCCCCCAAATACATTTGATCATTAATTTCATAGCAGTTTGTGGGACATTGCTGTATTCAAATTGGCTGTCAATTCGCTCACAAATAAAAGAAATCACTGCATTTTATGGCCTGTGAAAGACTTTGAATTGTCCTCCTGATTTAAAACTTGCCATAATAAATGTAACAATTATTATTATCTTACCTTGTGCAAGGTGCTGGCCCTCTAACATGGTATTATCAGTCTTTCCTTTAGTCTAAACATTGCAAAAAAAAATTTAGATGCAACTCAATTTTGATTTGCATAAAAATATTGTGATTGAAAAAAGCAAAGTTTTATATCAGATTAGGTAACCCATTTCTTAATTATCAAACCTGTAATGAAATATTGCACTTGCCATCCACAAAGTTTTATGCTATTCCACACAGAATTCCTTTTTAAATCAATGGGTGCTGAAATCCAGCTGTATTTTAAAGAGGCAATGAAATTTCTATTGTTATTCTGCCAATTACCATCCTGTTTTCAATTTGTGTTGGTTAATTTAATGTGTAGAGAAGAGAACAAATTGCAGCCCTCATTCACAATCAGGATCAAAGTGAGACCAAGGAGGGATCATGCCTGATTTAGAGAACATGCTTCAGAAAGGCTGAATATTTAATCAAGTGAAACACTGATACATAGTGTGCTCAATCTTGTCATAATGAAGACTGCTCCAGTAGAGATAGAGATGTGCAACACCCATTTGCATTTGTAATAAATCAGCTCCTCTATTTTGCTGAACTTTGGCCGTAAAACTGCAGCTGTAATGTGATTCAAAATCAAGGAACGCACAGAACAACTAGAATCTGACTTCTGCCCCACTCTGCTCTCCCGTTCTCATTTGTCATTCAATTTACAAATTTTGTAAAGCTAAAAAGTGAAAAAAATACTGGAAATAGTTCACAATTTTCAGTGTGACATCTCTGTTGCACAGGGTTTGGACAGTAGCACCCACTAGCTTCTGAGTGAAAAGGTATGTCCAGTAAGATATTCCATTGGAAAGTGTGACACTGTCATAACCACAAACAAACTGGAATGACTAAAATCGCAGAAAACTTATAGGATAGGAGGAGATTATTTGGCCAATCCTCTCTATGCTGGTGCAAATTCCGGAACCGGAGCTATCTGTTCCAATGCCATTGCCTGTTTTTATACACCAAACTGTTCTGGACTTGGTGCGGGAGAGAACACAAGCTGCAGAATTATGGATGATCCGCAACTTGTGGAGGGAAGAGTTGGGAAGGCTGACAAGCAGGGAATTGGCCTATTCGAGCCTAGATGTAATGAATGCATGAATGAAGGTTTCGGCAGCCTGGAAGGGTGAGGCAGTGGGGGAGGTGGGGAAAAGTAGAGCGGGTCGTGGCATGGATGTGGAGTAGAAAGGATAGTTGAGGGTCAAACAAGTTGCCAAGATTCTGGCCTGGCTCAGTGAGATGGAGTGTGCAACCATAGATAGTGATGCTGTCAGCGCCTGAGGTGTGGAGGCGCTGACGGGAGCCAATCAGGAGAGCCTCGGTCTTGTTGACGTTCAACGGTAGAAAGTTAGCTCTCATCCAGGACTTGATGTCTGACAGACATTCTGTCAGGACAGCAGTGGTCCTGGAGTCAAGGGTGGAGGCAGAGAGGTAGAGTTGGGTGTCACCTGCATAAATGGGGAAATTGACCCCATTCTGTGGATGATGTCACCAAGTTGGAGCATATAGAAGAGTAGGGGAACAAGGACAGAGCCCTAAGGAACACCGCACAAGACGATGTGGGGTCAGGAGGAGGAGCCGTTTGTGGCGACAAAGTGGAGACGGTGTGAAAGATAGGATCTGAACCATTCAAGGACAGGACCATGAAGGTTGAGGTGAGAGAAGGACTGGTCGACAGTGTCAAAGTTCAAGATGTTCTCGCAACGTAAAAGACACTATGTCAAATGAAAGGATTATTATTAAATACAGTCAAATGCTGATTGCTGAATGAACGTTCAGGACACCCAATGACCTTGTGAGATAAGTAAAGCACATTCAAGGCACGTCTCAAAATGTGCCTCTTTGACTGCGCTTTCAGTCATCTTTCCCTTCCTTATCCCCTCGGCTCCCACCCCCAGCTCTGTGGCTATCCAGCATTGTTACACGCTTTGAGACATCCTCTCGCCTTGAAAGACGCTATATAAATGTAAATTATATTTCTAAGCAAATTGACTCTTGTCCATCAACTGCACTGAAATTACTGAGTCTTATCAAACCTATCTCAATTGCTGGGAAACTGAACTCTTTCTGTGCTTTCCATATCTTGATCTTGATGCACACAGGGAGCTCTACTTTGAATGTGTGTGTGTTGGGGGGGGGGGGGGGTGGGGGTGGTGGTGGAGAGCTGAAAGACAATTTTAAAAAGTCTAGTTTGTTGCCTAGGTCAAGCCAACCAGCATTATTTGTCTTTAATTTTCAGTTCATTGCTTTCTCAGCTCCTGCAGTATAGCACGCTCCCCTTTGCCCTTTACCTGACTGTCCACAATTACCATCATTTCCATGACAGGAAGTGAGCAGAGGGCTTAATTAAAGTGCTACCATCTGTTTGGTCTGTTAAATATGTTCATAAGTCATCCTTTCACTGTATGAGGATCTGCATACAACATATGCTAAAACTGATCATCAGAATTACAGAGCTATAGATTTGTAGCAAACAACAAATACAGTCTGTCAGGAACCATTGCTATTAATTGAATTATGTCAGTTGTTATTACTGAACATATGTTAAATAGAGTTTTCATCTCCCTTATTACACCTTTCAATCAAAATTCATAGTTTTGGCCATTTCCATTGTATGCACTATATATCAGTACATTCTAAAATACAATAGAGAGAAAATGCAGCATAGGATATTGTCAACTGTGATAATTATCACATTGACCAAGAAAACACAGTCAAATGCAGTCAGTAATTACCACCGGACTTGAATTGGGGGGAGGTGGGGCTTGGGGGGGAGGTGGAGGTTGGGCTGGTGCGGGGAGGTGGTGGGGAGAGGTGGGGTTGGGAGTTGGGTGTGTGTTAGAGGAACATGGGTGTTAAAGGTTAAAGATCCAATGACCCTATCCAAAAGCAGATGGGAGTTTTTCCTGGTGTCCTGGACAATCCTTCAGATAAATTGGTCATTCATGGCTGTTTTGAGACTTTGCTGTGTACAAATTAGCTGCTAAAATTGCCTTCAAATACAGCCACTGTACTCCACACCAATTACTTATGAAGCACTTTGAGGCAATTTCAAGTTATAGGAACTATATTAAATCTATAATTATTTAACCTGTGCATTGTTTCCAGAGTTTAGACTTTTTTTCATGAGCATATCAATAAGGGTTATAGAGAATGACATTTTTATACAGCACAAGTTTTTTTTAAAAAAGACACACATAGCAGTAAATTATGTTTTATTCTTTAAAATGTGTTTAGAGAGAGCATGTTGAGTTGTGATAAACAATAATAATAATAATCTTTGCTTTAGTATAGTGCCTTTCACATCGGGAAGATGTCTCAAAGCATTTAGCAGAATTCACTACTATGTGTAGTGACTGTAATTGTGGTAGTATGCAGCAGCCCAATTATACGCAGCAGTGTCCCTCAAACAGCCAATATGGAGGACGGGTGAGTTGCTGCCCAGGACTCTGCCACAAGCTCTTATCTCTTTGATGAAGGATTGTGGACCCGAAACATTGACTTACTTTCCTTTCTCCATAGATGCTGCCTGACCTGCTGAGTGTTCCCAGCGACTTCTGTTTTTGTTTCAGATTTCCAGCATCTGCAGTATTTTGCGTTTTCTCATCTCTTTTGAGTTGTGTCATGGGATCTTTAACCTGAATAGACCGTCAGGACCTTGGTTTAACATCTCATCTGAAAGACAAATAAAACCCCAGTAATTAATTGTTGGTGACAACAGAATCGTAGAAATCACTGAGAAGGAGGGCATTTGGCTCATCAAGTGTATGCTGGTGCTAGCTTTCCACTGGAGCTCTTATCATAATCTCTACTCTTTCCCCATCTTGAGAATGGAGGCAAGATGATGAGTTAGGAGAATTATCACAACAAAAGCATATTGACTAATGTGTGCTTTTTCCTGTAGTATGTTGGTACCAATTTTTCATTTGGTCAGCAAGATTTCTGGCACATATCGAAACCCAACACTATGTTTAAGAGCAACCAATCCAACGACTAAGACTTCCACATACGTGTGGGAATTTCTTTTTGCCTGGTATGGCATGTGCACTCTCTCACTGGAGTGATACATCCTACTTAACTAATCCTGAAGACTTTAGGCACTGGTTGGCAGAACGGTGTCACAGAACATGCATTACTGCTGGAGTGTAATCACCTGAAAAGGGTTTTTGCACTAACACACTAAGAAAGACTAGTAAAAGCTATGTGTTGATGGTTTTACATTCTTAGGCTTTTGTCACAAGAAGATACCAAGTCAGCAATGAAGCCACTGTTCTAAATCTTTTATTTTGTCCTACAGGTCCTTGGGGGAGATGTATGGGAAATGAGTGTGGCCCTGGAGGTATCCAGACCCGGTCAGTATGGTGCTCCCATGTGGATGGATGGACAACTTTACCGACAAACTGTAAACCAGCAGAAAGGCCTGAGAATCAGCAGAATTGTTTCAAAGTTTGCGACTGGCACAAGGAACTGTACGAGTGGCTCCTGGGAGAGTGGAGTGAGTGCCTGCCTGTCCTTTCCAGGAACCCTTCTACAGGTAAAGCCTTTGAGTGTCTGAAAGGGGAGGCAGGAATTCAGACTAGAGACATCACTTGCATTGAGAAGAAAAATGGAGCTGCTGCTGAGGATGTCATCTGTGACTATTTTGAGCCCAAGCCACCCCTGGAGCAAGCCTGCATTATCCCTTGCCCACAGGACTGTGTGATATCAGAGTTTTCTTCCTGGTCAGAATGCACTAAGACCTGTGGGACAGGATTACAACATCGGTTCCGTCAAGTGTTGGTCCCACCTCTCTACAATGGCATGGCCTGCCCCAACCTGACTGAGTTTCAGAGCTGTAAACACAATCCCTGTGATGCAGAGGAAAGTATGTACAGCTTGAAAGTAGGTCCTTGGAACAGGTGCTCGCTCCCACATACCCGACAGGTTCGGCAAGTAGGAAAAAGGGTGAGGGATCAGGAAACGCGTGAGCTCATGAAGAAAAAGAGAAACAGAAATCGCCAGATCCGACAGGACACCAAATACTTTGATGTACAGATCGGCTACCAGACAAGACAGGTCACGTGCATGCACAGAAACGGAAAGACAGCAGCTCTCAGGTAAGAAGCTGACACACATTTGTTACTTGTCAATATACCAGGTGAACAATTCCCACAGAGTTCAGACTGATTTGGGGGCCTTTGGTGAAATTTGTGGTCAACATAAATATATGCAATTTCTAATACTTTTACAACATCAACAATTTACGTTTCTATAGTGTTTTTCACATCAATTACTGTCTCAAAGTGTTTTGCAATATAGCTAACCCTTGGTAGCATTTAAATAGGATCACACCCACTCAAGGACAGCTCCAATCAAAGTCAAACATTTCTTGGCAAACCGAGTTCTACATTCGTCAGGAATTAACTCTTAACTATTTAGTCAAGGGAGAAAAAATAATCTGCTTCCTTTAGAGATGTATAAAATGCAATACTTATTCCATGCCTATATTATTCATCTAAGTAATAGTATAATTGCTCAATTTTAATGTCTCTTCTCAGCCATGTATTATTACTTAACCATACGCGCATGGTGATGTCTGTTATAGAATAGCACACTTTCAATTTGTGTAATTGCAGTCCTAGGTAATTTACATGTGCGGATCTCCATTTGAATGGTGGAATTATTGTGGCTTTGAAAGTTTTTCAATTTATGTCTTTGAACTGAACAACCCTATCTTCAAGTGTAAGGATCCTGAAGCCTCCAATGTGCATACATGTAATTATCAATTTTATTATAGAATCAGATAATAGAACCATATTTATTTCAAACTAATTATTATTAATTCAGATGAAATAGTTTGCACACTGAAATCTAATTGTAGTAATTAACATGTGATGGAGTCCACTAAGGATGATTTCCACGAGTGCAGCATTGTGTGCGGATTCCATACTGAACTTAAATGTTCTTTTTACTTTTTATAACTGTGTCAATGCAGAATAATATAGCAAATTTTCAATTTTAAGATCATAATGAGAGATAATGGAACCCAGGATTGAAAAAGAACTGGAAAGGGCTATTTCAGCAATCCAAAACATAATTCCAAAATATATTTCAATCCCTAGCCCCCTTCTTTTCTTCATCTAAATTCTCCCTTTTTAGCTAGGTCATCAGCAGACACTTATATGTGGATGACACCCAAATCTATATTTCCACTGCTACTCTTGATTCCAGGTCCACTGATGTTCTGTCAGACATCAGGGCCTGATTGAGCCAACATTTTGTCCAACTCAAAATGGTAGACATAAGCCATCCTCCTTGGCTACCACCAATTTGCACACCTCCTCAACCTCTCTGGCCTCTCTCTCAAACTCTCCAAACTTGTGCCCAAATATGGCCTCCAGTTTGATACCCAGCTTTCCTTTCTCCCTCATATTGAGTTATACTCACCAAGACTGTTTCCCTCCATCTCTGCCCCATTAGCAGTATCCACCTTTATTTCACATGCAGTGCAGCTGAAACACTCATTCATGCCTTCATAACATCCTGTGTACAATTCTGATTGCTGTAACGATGAGGATGAGCCCCAGTGTTAGAGGAATGAGCTATTTGAAATGATTAGACATGCTGGGGTTCTTCAATTATGAAAGGAGGTGTCTCAGGGGATACATATAGAGGTACATAAAATGTTAAGTGCAATTGATTTCACGCGCAAAACATACAGTGACTAAACTTTACAGTATAACCTGTGAAAGACTTTGAGGTGTCTCAACAGCATGATAAAAGACTATATCAAATGCAAGGATTATTATTATTATTGATCAAGTAAACCCAGAACAATACTTTAGGATGCACTAAGACCATTTAGAACAAAAGGAAAGAAAAACAGAAGTCGCTGGGAAACTCAGCAGATCAGGCAGCATCTATGGAGAGAGGAAAGTGAGTTACCATACTACCCGGACCAAACTCCGTACCCACATCTCACCAGTTCTGGCCAGGCTCCACTGGCTCCCCATCACCAAACGGATCAACTTCAAGATCCTCACACTTCAACAACAACAGCAACAACTTGGATTTATATAGTGCCCTCCACGCCGGACGGAGTCTCAGAGCGCTTTACAGTAACGGATCCCGGATCCCACTTGTGTTCAAATCCCTTCACTCTATGGCAGCTCCCTACCTCTCCAACCTCCTCGCTCCCCAATCCACCACCCGGCGCATCCGCTCGACTGGCACCGGCCTCCTGCTCGTCCCTCGCACCATCCACCCCATCATTGGAGATCGCGCTTTCGGCCACTACGCCCTGAAACTCAGGAACACTCTCCCACAATCCCTCCGCCTTGCTCCCTTTCTCTCCTTTTTCAAGTCCCACCTGAAAAACTTCCTCTTCGACCATGCTTACCAGTTAAAATCAATATTGAGCCAGAGGCCTGTAAGGTGCCTAGTAAGTAGATGAAGTGCTGTTCCTCGAACTTGCACTGTGTCTCGTTGGAACAGCATAGGAGGCCATGGACAGAGAAGTGGGAGTGGGAAGGAGAATTAAAGTGGCAAGCAACCGGAATCTGAGGGTTCAATGTATCCTACAAAAAGGCAGACATAGCTAGGACCCATGCGGGTTCCCATAGCGACACCTTTTATTTGGAGGAAGTGAGAGGAGTTGAAAGAAAAGTTGTTCAATGTGAGAACAAGTCCAGCTAAGTGGAGAAGGGTGATAGTGGATGGAAACTGGTTGAGCTCTGTCCAGGAAGGTGGAGGGTCTGCAGGTCGTCCTGGTGGGGGATGGAGTTGCAGAGGGACTTGAACATCCATTGTAAAAAGGAGAATGTCAAGACCAGGAACCTAAAATTGGTCGAAGTGGCAAAGGGCATCAGAGTCGTGGATGTAGGTGGGTAAGGGACTGAACTGGACAAAGGGGGAAAAAAATCGAATCTAAGTAAGAGGAAATAAGTTCTGTGAGGTATGAGCAGGCTGAAACGATTTTGCCTTAGAACAAGAGGACATAGATTTAGAGTTGTATAGGGCAATTTCAAGCAGGACAAATAGCAGGAGGTTTTCTTTACTCAGAGGGTAATTAACAAAAGGCCGCAGGTTAGAAGCAAGGTTGGTTGAGGCCAGGATACTGGACTCATTTAATACAACAACAACTTGAATTTATATTGTGCCCTTCACGCAGGTTAGTGTCCTGGAGCACTTCACAGTGGAGGAGTCTGACAATGAGCCAAGGGGAGAGGGAGTGGGGAGGCGACTGGTAAACAGGTCGGATAGGTGGGGAGGTGCGAGGGAATTAAGTGATAAAGAACAGCTTGATTCTGTGATGGAAAGACAGAGTGTTCTGGAGCGATAAGATCAAATGGACCGAAGGGCTTTCTTCATCCAAACCAATCTTGTGATCTCATGGTGATATTTCTACTTCAAAACTTTTTAATCACACCATTTCTATTTTAACTACAGAACATCACAATTCAGAGTTCTTTAACAGTTTATCAAACTAACTGAAACCTGTAATCCCAAATAACACCTACATGTCAATGGGTTTTTCACAGTTCCTTCCACTATTTTGTCACCTTTGTAAGACTGCTCCAGTTATTGTGTCTTTCTCCCGCCCTAAAGTCTCTTGAAAAATTCTCAGCAACTAAAGACAATCTTTCCCTTAAACTACATATTAACTCTGAACCATTTTGCCACTTCTGCACGGGCTGCATATGACTTCAAATGGGTCGGTCTTGCCTGATTGAATACATGCACTTTTATGAGGAGTGAATCCTAAATATGACAGTGGGAAGCGATATGATGTACTGTATCAAGTCTTCCAACAGGCTCCTGAGAAAAAAGCAAATGAGAGATTCATTTATGAACTGATGATCTACTTAATCATCGAGATAGGTAATAACTATATTTGAATATAAGAGCATGAACTTGTACAGATGGTCCCGAAAATAGTTCCTGGCTTCTTCAAAATGCTTTGCGTTATTGTGCAGTACAATTAATCTGGGTATAGAACATTTCTATCCTCTCCCGATAGATTTTCCTAATGCACGGGACGTTTAAAACAAGAATGTCAAACTTCTTGCATGGGCGAGCTGTGAGGCACAAGGAAGTATTTTGCCAATGACCACTAAGCCTGCACCTGCTCATAAAGGTTCTGCAGCATTTAATAAGCTTGTGTAACTGGGCTACTTAGGAACACCATAATGCCATTGATGTCCATGTCTCAATTGGTTATTGCTTTTAAAGACCATAAGTCACAACTGAATGACAGCAGCATAAATTAAGCAATTAAAGTATAAAGGCGGCCTATAACATTAATCTGAACCATGATATTTTAAATTAATAAGAGCATAAGAAATTGCCATCCAAAAGACAACCGAGGTCCATCTGGTTCACCTTCCACCCTCCTGGCAGTGGCTTGACATGTCGTGTCCCAAACTATATACTAGGTCCTGAGATATTATTTTCTAGCAGAAATCTATCTAATTCGTTCTTGAAACAAACAACACTTTCTGCTTCCACTGTCTCCCTAGGGAATCTGTTCCATACGTTTACTAATCGCTCACTGAAATAGTGTCTCCGCAGATTTGTTCTGAATTTACCCCCTTCAATCTCAGGTCATGTCCTCTGGTTCTACTGTTCAGTACAACAACAATTTGCACATATATAACGCCCTCCACCCAGGGTAGCGTCTCAGAGCACTGAATACAAGATAAAACAGCTTATCATTATCTATTCCCTTCAGAATCTTAAAGACCATAATCATATCGCCCCTCAATCTTCTCTTCTTCAGTGTGAACGTGTCCAGTATATCTAATCTCTCCTCATAATCCAGTATCTCCATCCCCTCAATCGTTTTGACTGCCCTTCTCTGTAGCTTCTCAATTGCTGCAATATCCTTTTTATATTGCGGTGACCAGAACTGCACACAGGATTCCAACTGCGGTCACTCCAACGATATATAAAGTGGCAGGATTACCCAATATTTTGGCTCAATATTGCCCTATTAATACAACCCAGCAGCTGGTTTGTCTAACTCACTGCTACCAAGCACTGTTGCAATAGCTTCAATGTCTTGTCAGTCAGGACCCCCAGGTCCTTTTCATTTTCCATACAGATTATTTTTTTCCCA